GTTACGACCTGATTCATGGTAGAGTAACGCTTCACTAGTCACGACGCCTCTTTGGGATTTTGATAAATTATCTTTAAATCAGTTACTATTTCGGATATTATTATTAGTTATTTAGGACATTTTTGAAAACTGGTTTAGTTTCTACTTTTTTTTCACTATGACTTTTTTACTTACTTACTTACTATAAACATAAAGAATATGTCATAAAACAGGGCCCTATATTAAAAGGATTTAATCTAAATGATTTTTTTGCCAATTCATCACTACAAAGGTGAAAAAATTTTCTTAATTCTAAAACATCATCTGCCTTTTTATCTGGTGATTATTTACGTATAGTTTTTACTAAAATCTAATTGTTTGGCATTTTCATTCTTATCATATTAAAAGTTACTAGATTTTCTTAAAATAAACATTCAGTAAAGTGGAAATGCCTTAAAGTGAATGTAACAATTTACTTAACTACGTATAAACAAACTTTTATTAATCCCTTAATTAATTTTTTAAAAAATAGTAAAGGTTTGTGAAAACTTAGTTTGTCGATCCATAGGAAACATGTTTTTTTACTAGTTACTACGACCAGATTCATAAGATTATCAGAGTGAACAGGTAAACAAGCAATTTACTATTATTATTATTATTACTATTATTATTATTATTATAAAACAAACAAATAGACTAATTAATAACCTTTGACAATGTAAGGGAAGTAAACAAATGTAGCATGAATTATTTATTACTTATGAAATAGTAAATTCATTCTTTATTCTGACTACTTTATTCTAATAAGATATAGTCTAGATGAATACTATAAACATGTTGATTTGTTTGCATGTAAAATAAATAAATAAATAGTTCAATATAGAAATGAACTGATGGAACAAAAAGTAAAGTTTACAATTTTTTTAACTAAGAAAAACACTACCATACATTGCCATGTAACAATATGAGATACTGTAGCTATTAAAGTAGACAATATTAACAACAGAAATGAGTGTAACTCTGTGTTGTGCTACAGCAGTAGCTCACCGTATACATGTCGAGTCATAATAGTTTTAGAATTAATTTTAAAATAAATAGAGTTTTATAAACGTAAAGCACAAATAAGGTTTATTAGACATATGCCGAAAAAAAAGTTGTGTATTTTTCAAATATGTGTATTTAGTTTCCTTTATTTGAAAGTTTAATATATTGCTTAATAAAACAATTATTTTTAGTTGGTTTATGGCAGTCAGTGAAATGCTCTAAACTTAAATTTCACACTAATTGATGCTTATGAGTGAAGGAAATGACGACTCCAATGGAATTCAACAAGGTATTATTCAACGCTCCAGCTAAAGACGTTACAAGTGAGCAATTTGAACCAGGACGGATATGCAGTAGGACCGAGATGTGTAATAATTGTGCACCAACTAATTTGTACATAACAGACTGACTACCACACCACTGGTTACTACTGTGTGAAGGGTACAAGTAAAATTATAAATGATTATTATAATAGTGGGAATTAAAAACATTTCCATACATTAAAATGTTGTGTGTTAGTGATATCTGATTACTCGCTTTATTAGTGACTAAATATAAAAGTAAAATTCAAAATAGAAGGAAAAACAAGCGTGACCATTCTAGAAATGTTGAATGCCTAAAAATATCAATGCACGAAGTGTCAATAGTTACAGTTTATTTTCACATTAGAACATCAGTTAGCTTTTGAGTTGATGTATAACAATTTTTAAGTATAGTGGATCTTCCTTATATCTAAAGACTATTAGATTTTATAAAACCACAAATATGAGGTTATTCTTTCAGCGGTCACCAACGTAATATATGCAAAAAGATAGGCAATTCACTTATTAATTGAATGATGGGATGACTTCTGACTATTTTATAATTAAGGAATGACTCTTAATCATTTCAATCTTCACTAGTTGATCAATAAATCCTAGAATAAATAGGAGAGCTTTATATACAACATGTTAAACAGTCGAAGGTGAGTTTAAGAGATTTTAAATCAAGCATGAATTCATTTACCTAGTCGTCATTTTTTAAAAAGTTTTATATCTCCTTTCTATAAATTCTCGTAATCTCAACATACTTTAAGCGCGAGAAATGTACTAGAATGTTTGCTATGCTAGAATCTTAGAGTTAAAAGAGGTCGAATACTTAGGTTCACTAAATAACAATCATGAATAGATGACAACTTAATTTGTGTAATAGGGTAAACGAGACATATTAACACATCATATGCTAATTAGGGTGAGACGGCTGTTCAATGTTTCCAGGTTTTCGATAGCGATCTAGCTGAGATCGGCTTGCGAATCCAACTTAAATGTAATACAGTCTCCCACATATAGCTCAGAAGGAGAACTCTGATAGCTTAGTGACTTATGACTCGAATGATTTAATCTTAAAGCTTTCATTGTCAATCAAAATAACATTATTGGTAAAAAATTTTAAAGAAATAAACCATTTAAAATTTTATTATAGATGACTAATATCTTTTATAAAGTTGGAATTTTATTGAATAGGGCTATAATTGTGTTGATAGTTTCCATACGTTTATTTAGAATTTTTAAAAACTTTGAAAAAATATGTGTCATTCATGACACATGTGCTTAGTTACATTTGTTTGATTTGCGTTTAACAATGAACACTATCATCAGAGCGTATAATGATCTTATTTGAAATACATCTCTAGAAGTTAATCAGTTTTACATGGTATTGTCAATTATCTGGACCTATATAAAATGTTTAACAAATTTATTTATTTAAGAAGAGAAATCTAGTTAGATACATACTGAAAATTAATAAATAACTAACTGTTACTCTTGTATTATTGTTTCTGTGTTAACTATTCGCATTACTATTTCAGATTACAATAGTTAATCGGTGAAAAAAGATTTATCTTGACGCAATGATTTATATATACTGGTTTAGCTTTACTTCTGATCTAGGCTTACCATTATGTAGTACTTATGGAAGCTATTTCTCAAAGAACTATCGAATTATATGATACTCATATAATTTCAAGCATTATTATTCAATAATATCATATGAACTAACGAACCCCACTAGAATGATCGTGGAGAATCCCAAGTACTATGATTATTTACCAATACAAACTGAATCCATTGCAATACTACAATAATAAACTTTAATTGTTCATTTTAGTGTTCGTTATAACACTGAAAGTCCAACCATAACTCTACCAAATGAGATATTATATGATAGATTTGAAAAAGAAGTTTTGGATTTCTCATGAATATTACTTCTTGTTCATGCTTATTAACAAAATAAATTAGTAATGTTAAAATGGATAAACAGATTGTTGCAAGTAACTCTTTTCAATAAAAAAATTATCAATTCCATTTTATAGATTAATTCATCATGTAAATGGCAATGAATAACAATTATGATGTAGTTGCAAAGCATAAAAACAAAATTTAAAGAAAAACATGTAGTTTGTTATTATTTTGATCATTTGTATTTGATTTTTAACTAAATAGACTATTCACAAATGATTTATCATATTTTGGCAGTAAAAATAAAAGAAATTTGAAGAAAACGAAAACCCTTCGTTTTATTGTGTCTTCATTAATCACTGAATTTTAGATCGGTATAAAAACATAAACCATGTGTACAGTATGATTAATGAATACAAAAATAATCACCTTGTGCGTTTGCTATTTTGTTGAGATGAATCAAAGTTCGCAAGTAAAACGAGTTATATCACCGCTAATAATAATACTAATAATCATATAAATAATGCTGGTACTATCATATGTTGAATGCATTTTATACTTAGATGTAGTTTATATATTTATTAATAATTTTTATGTCAAAATAATCAGTAGCCAAGAAACTAATAAATTATTTTTATAAAAAACAAACAATAACTAAAACATCTAGAATAACATCATTTTTTTGTTATTTATCAAGTCAGATAATACAAAACAAAGGAATATTAAACGTTAGTTATTAGAGGAGATAAATTGAAAAGTCAATCTTGAATTAGGCATTCATTTTTAAGTAAAACAGCTAAAGTAAGATAAATAAAAAAAGAAAACTAGTTTATAAGCCAGTTAGTGAACTTTACAATTATATATCCATACCATAATGTAGTTAACAATAACAAAACTTTTTGAAAAAAATTGATTTTTAAAGAGATTTTGTACTATTTATACCAAACTGGTTACTGCTTCACAAATTGTAAATAAAGTTTAGTCAGAAGGCTACTAAATACAATATGTATGTTTCAATCAAAACAATACTAAGTGAAGTTATCTGAAAACATTTCACCATCCTTATTTTGTTCAAAGTGATAAATATATCTGAAGGCACCAAAATAAAAATTAATTTAGTATTGAGAAATTTCGTTGGGCGACAACGGATTCAGTTTGTAAAGCAATTTAGAAATTAAATCAGTTGAAGGTAAGTAAGTATTTTAGTGTGATCATTACCGACTTATAAATACTTGTGAAATTATGAACGTAAGAAGATTTGAAAGAGCTCGATCTATAAGAATTTTTAGACAATACTGTTAAATCACATTTTTGTGAAAAAGCAAAGTTTTAGAAATGTGAACTTTAAAGAGTTAGTAATAAGGGATATAAAATAAATATGTTTAAAATTTTCAATCAAATACCTAACTTCAAAGTTAATTTATTTTGATGGAAACTCTACCATCAAGCGTTTTCAACGTTCATTCTGTATATAGAAAGGAAGAGTGATTAATACCTCTGCTCTGCTTATTTTGACCAGTTTGGAAATTCTTTAATTTACAAAGTCTTTTGGTTTACATCCAGTTCAGTTTATATTAGCTATTTAATTAATTCATTTAATCAACTATCACACATCTTATATGATATTATTGTTATCCATTAACTTCTTACGCTTTTAATTATACCACTAGATTCTAACATAGAGATATCTTTTCATTCCAATTATATAATTTTTATGTTTTGTTTATCGATTTTGTTATCTTGCTTAAAACTTTCAATTAGTTAGTTTATATACTCATTGTTAAATTGATTAAAGACTCTAAAATAAAATGAACACATTTTACAAATCATGATATTACTACTTAAACAAAATTTATCAATAAAATAAGATATGTAAATATCATCATCATCATCATCATCATCGTCATCATCATCATCATCATCATCATCATCATCATCATCATCATCATCATCATCATCATCATCATCATCATCATCATCATCATCATCATCATCATCATCATCATCATCATCATCATCATCATCATCATCATCATCATCATCATCATCATCATCATCATCATCATCATCATCATCATCATCATCATCATCATCATCATCATCATCATCATCATCATCATCATCATCATCATCATCATCATCATCATCATCATCATCATCATCATCATCATCATCATCATCATCATCATCATCATCATCATCATCATCATCATCATCATCATCATCTACTAGGAACATTGCTTCATAAAATAAAATTGATGTCAAATAAAGATATGAATCTTCTTGTCATATCAGTCAAATTATAACTTTCAATATTTCAGTTTTAAAATTAATTTATATCTTAACAATAAAAATCTATAGTAAATATTAGTATTATTTTATTATTTAAAGTTATTGTTAACAAAACTGTAAAACAAAAACAAAAAAAGAAAAGAAAAATTGAACGAAATATTGAATTTTTAATTTATGAGAATGATAAATTTCAAATGATATTTATGTGTAAATGTCATAAAATTAAGTGAATGTCTGAAATAAGTGATTTATTTTGTTCACTTATATGGATGACAATAATGCCAAAAAAACATTACCGGCTTTTGAAAAATTACATAAGTAATATCAGGTTATTTAGATTTAATACAATAACTATATTGTTCTGATAAACTATTTATTATCTAAATTCATCAGATAAACTGATTATTTTAAATACATTGAAATGTATTTACTAATACAATGCTGAAGTTATAATGTATAATGACTTTAAAATATACTCTATTTTCATGAATAAATAACAATAAGGTGTGTAAAGGATAATATGGTGTTTGTGCTTATTATCAATTCTTTCCTGTATTATTCCGTATCTAATTTCAATTACAAAATACAATACTTTCGAGTGTATCGTCGGATTTTCCTACAACCTGAGCCGTAGCACATTTGTAACTGTTAGAGTACGATTGAACAAACTTAGGAATTACTTGATAAAATATAAATTGGATTGTCTCTTATTATTATAGAAAAGCATAAATAAATGAAAAAATATTCAGACAGAACATTCTCAGCGTATATAATGTGTGAGTTCTGATAACCTGGGATACTCATTCAAACCCCATGCTAATTAGTTTATTAAATCTATTGTTTAATTTCATGTCTAAGCGATTATAAGCCTCCCATTTGACGATTACTGTATCGCTTGTTACTAGCCACTGACAAAAAATTATTATGGTGTATTTCTAATGTAAGCTTGACAAACGTTTCCTCAAGTTTTGCTATCACCTGGTCACCATAGAAGTAAGCCGAAGATAAAGTGTGAATTTGCTTTAAGACATACTCATGGGATAAATATTCACTTTTGTGAATGTTTTCTTGTCGAAATATTTTTGTTTTAGCTCGTAACTTTGGGAATCATATCTATGCTAATCTGTATTATGAGAAACCTATCACAAGTTGATAATATGGGATAAAAAGGCGAAATGAAAATTTGACTAATGATTTTCGGTCAGTTACTTCCGTGTCTAACTCAACATGATGGTTATTTAAAGTGATATTTAGTTTATTTTCAGTGTGTTATTTTATTCACTATAACATTGATTTACTTCAGTGTTATGTTTATTCAAGATATGATATTCTTGTATTAAATTAACATGAATTGCGTTCAGTATGACATGCAGCATTAGGTTTGTCAAAACTCTGGATATTTTTCATTTATGATTTTATCTTAATTAATAATAGAAATGTGTGTACAATTAATATATAATGTGTGTATTTTTGATGAGGTTTGTGTTGGTGTTTTCGTGATGAATAAATCTTCACTTGTGTTAGCCTTGATATTCTTACTTCACGTCGTGGGAATTGCAGTGGTATCTCGTTATTTTCTACAAGTATAAGGAATGAACGACGCGGATACACCATAAGTTTAAGAGCTAAAACGTTTTTACTGAAATAACATTGAAGTTTATTTTTATATGTTTATATGCATTCGTACGTAAAAAACTAAAAGGTAATACATATAATTTCTTTTTAGGGTTGCTCATAAGTGTACAGAGTTTCACTGTCACAGACACATATTCTTCTGGCTTTAGGAAGTGCTCTTACTTGAAGTGGACTATGACTTGGTGGTTTTTTTACTTTGAATCCCTAACTGAGAGATTAGGCCTGTTTCAATACATTTATTGCTTTGTAGTGGATTAGTTCTTACCATACGATCCTCAAACCTGAAGATAAAATAACTGAAAAAGTTTACATACAATATTCAACATGGAGAGAAGGTAAGTAATGGTGAACATGGGAGCAATAAATTGCAATAACATGGTTCGGTCATGCAGGCATGGTTACATTATGTAGACTCGTGTTTCTTGTATATAATACATTACTCGCCTCCTAGCCCAAATACGCTCTTCAGAGGTGATAAACATCATATTGCTGATTATCACAATACGATGAGTCAGTATAGGCAATTATGTAACTTACACATAAGATCTTATAGATTAGGTACTCATGTCATGGTATATCTGCAATTTTAGGATGGGGTTTACTATCATAGTAGTAAAGACAAATGTAATTATATCAAACTAAACCGTAAATCCATATCCTACTGAGTTACAGAAATCATGGGATTTTTATTAACGTTCTTTACTTTCAACATTTCAGTGATTCCTTATCTGAGCCAGTGTTATTAACTGTCCAAATAAAACTACACAGCAGGAAAATGTCCAGGTAATTGGAAAACAGCAGATATTAGTACAAACGCTGATGAGGGCCGTGACTACTATATTTACCTGGCATCAAACGGATTTACTGTACCATGTCTTCTTTGCCTGTTACCTATAACCAGCAATAGTAATGCACGTATATGCAAATGGCTAAAGATCGAAGACGATTTAAAATAATGAAAATTCGTAATGTTTAGTTTTTAACCTCGGCGTGGCGTCCAGTCGCGATTGACTATGAACACCACTACAAGTAGACTACGTGCCAGTTAACCAATAAGATATCCGTAGGTCAATATCAGAAGGCAGATGATGGCTGTAGTCGAGATATATTTGCTGGCGATCTCGTGGTATCGAAAGAATACCGAGATCGTGCCAAAGGAGTACAAGCGTGGTTACTGAGCGTAACCGAATTCGTACAAGTTTAAAGTCAACGGGAGAGAGAGAGAGTAATGGCTGTCATTAGCACAGTTAAACAAACGAGCACAGCAAAACAATCATCGGTACAATTGGTTATAATAATAATTGCTTTCATTGAACCAATCGCGTTCTGTTGACAAAAGTAGGTCATTACATAGCCATGGTAATTTTGACCATAGATATACCTCCCATAATTAGAGGGTTTGTATACTTAATGGCTCAAGTAAACCATTTCAGAGATACTGTCACAATTACTTTTCGTACATTTGCTAAGTAACTGTGTAACATCTTTAACTGTGAACCAGTAGAAACACTAATCTGTGGATGAGAGTTTGAATCTGAATTATCATGTGCTCAAAAACCTTCGGTTTTCACGCGATTTCAGACAGCCGCTACGTACTGGAATCTCTTCTTGCTCCATGGTTTAAAAGGTCAATATCTTGATGTTGACATAAATGAGAACGAAAATACTGAGCTAATTTATTTTGATAAGCCATTGGTAGTGCATTTGAAAGATATTATAGTACGACATATTTTGGGCTTGGTTCAAGCGTCATAGGCTTTGACATAGTCCTTCCTTAACTTATTTATCAGGTTAAATTACAGGTTAAGACTACAACAGTAACTAAATACGTGGAATAAATAGCTTTACAAGTTTTATTGCATTTCTGTAAGCCTCACTACACATAACTAGTCAGCTCCAAATCCATACACCTTGACATCTTGGCCTATAATTAAAATGTACATTAGTATTCCGTCATTCCCAAACTTCTGCCTCCATTATCTTTTGGATAGCTATGTAAGAAGACATTTCAGACGGTAGCATTCCCAACTTCTGCGGTTCTGTGATCTCTTCGAAACCATCAAGGGTTCGCTTATTGAAGAAGTAATAAAAGACAACTGACTGTCCTTCCTTATCAATGAATTCAAGTGAGGATAACTGTCTAACTGAACAGGAGTCATAGTGTGCAGTGTCTCTTGAAAAACAACTTTCAGCCACCCATCAACGTCAATCATCCTGTTCATGTTTTGTCTCATGCCACCAAACACTTTGCATGTGTTTTTGATTGCAATAAATAATTTATCATAGAGGAAGCATCAAATTACTTCTAGGGGTGTTAATAGTTGGAAGGAAACTTCATGATTTCTCTCATCATTATTTCCAGAAATTCCATTTGACTCAGAAAAAAGTGAATAAGATTTTTTAGCTAAAACTTCACCGTATTTTTTCAAAAAATGTCTTCAATACAACAATATTTTTCATATATTCATTTATCATAAATGTGTTTAGAATCTTCATTTTAATTTGACCTTGAGACAACAGTTACATTTATTTTCGAAAAGAGTTATGGATTACAGCTCATCAATCAAGTTGTACAATACTTCTTCGATCACTGCAATATGCTTTGACCCCTCAAGAAGAGAAGTGATAACTGGGTTTGAGGGTATAAATGTTTTTTATTACCAGTTTTAGACGGTGGAATTATTTATTGGGATGTTATAATCGGCCGGAAAGTTAAAAATCTTAATATTCATACCTCGTGGGTCACATCGATTTACTATTGGTATGTAACGAACCATTGATTGTGAAAGCAAATCACAGGGAGTCGATGAAAACTGTCATAACTATGAGTCATGAAGGTATCGTTGCGTTTTGGCAGGGACTGTTATTAATCGATTGGTATAATGTAAGTGAACTTCAAAGATGATGGGCAAATTAGTTTACCCAAGCTCCCAACGTTTGTGGAAATTTTGGGGTTTTTGTGCCATTTCTTCAAAATTTCCCCTAAATTTCCTCACAATAGGCAAAATTTTCCCCAGAATTTGGAGCTCGGGTTTTGCTGAATTTAATATAAAATAGTGAAAAACGGCTAAGTCTTAACATATAGTTTACTGTCGATAATTTCACAGGTCAGAATCAGGCCTTCACTATATTGTGGCGTAATATTAAACTGTAGTGGCGTACAATTTACAGGAGTTTGTTTAGACTTCGTTACTTATTTAGCAGCCACGTATTTTATTTTCACTGAACATCCTTTAATCCTTAAGTTTTAATTTGGCATTGTAATATTCATAACACTCGCATAACCTCACATGTTAGCATCTATATATTTAATGTATAGCTTGAAACAATATCAGTCTCCTTGTTCTGGCTAAAAATTTTTCAGATAATTAATATGGCTGAAAAAATGGAATTGAACAAAATTAACCTCTTGTTTATGCATAAATTATGCCATTGCGTCATCAAAACTTCTATGAATTGAATATATAAGTCTTCCTCACCATGAACTCAGGCTTTTTTTAAGTAGTAAATCAATTTTTCGTCGTTAATTTTTTAGAATGGAATGATCTATAAAATTTGAGGTTGAAAAGTTTTATTCAAGGTTAGTTCATAAGTCTAAAAATATAAATAAGTACACTGAACAACAAAGCTAAATATATACGTTTATATGTATGTATTTATATGTGAGCGCAAGATAA